CCCTCCCTTCCTTCCTTCCTTCCTTCCTTCCTTCCTTCCTTCCTTCCTTCCTTCCTTCCTTTTCTCCCTCTACAGTTTAATAGCTTCGAGCAGCTGTGCATCAACTTCACCAATGAGAAGCTGCAGCAGTTCTTTAACCAGCACATGTTTGTGCTGGAGCAGGAGGAGTACAAGCGGGAGGGCATCGACTGGGTCTTCATCGACTTCGGCCTGGACCTGCAGCCCTGCATCGACCTCATCGAGAAGGTGGAGCCTGGCGCAAGCTCACTGCAGCGGGGAGGGTGTGGGTGCAGTGAGTGAGCATGTGTAAGTGCGCGTGTGAGTGTGTGCCTGTGCGTTGAAGTGAGCTTGTGCCTGTGTATGGCTCTGACTCTGTCTCTGTACATGCCATGAATGGTAATGCATGCATGTGTGTGACAGGTGCGCTGGAGACTGTAAAAGCATGTTGGTGAACATGTGTGAGCAATGTGAGTGTGCATCCCAGCACTGTTGACAATAGCCCCTCATGGGTGGACACAGTTTTGAAATTCACAAGGTCCTATTGCAGCCACAGTTTCACTGGACCCTCAGAACTGCCCTGGGAGAGGAGTAGGATGTGTTTGCTTATTTGTTTATTTGAGTGAAACATTATATAAATGTCCCCATTGTGCAAAGAATGGGAGAAAGAAAAATCAGAAAATTAGAAAAGTGAAAAGTGAAGGGGAAATGATGTTCCCCCAATCCCCACACAACCAGAATCTTGGCCCTCTGGTTAGTTTCCTCCAAGTCCCGTGTCCTGGGCATCGGTTTTCGCTCAGACAGACTCAGGTCTCCTCTTTTTCTCTAAAATGGGTTTTGAACATTGAACGAAGAAGGCACAGTAGTTCACGCAGCAGATGGTTTTCAGACAATGCATTTCTGGAATCTCCTGTTGGACATTCATTTAGGTGGTTGACATTCATTTTTGTTTGTTTTTCACTGTTAAAGCAGCACAAAGTATGCATGTCCCCATTTTGCAGGTTAGGAAACAGGCTTAGGGAGGCTTAAGGGCCCACAGCCAGTAAGTTTGAACCCAGGAAGCCAAAATTTGAACTCGGCTGCTTTTTTTTTTACTGTCCCTGTGAGTGTGTGTGAGATCATGGAGCTGGGGGCTGATGGGTACAAAGATGCCAGTTTGAGTTTGCACAGTTCTCATAAGCAAAGAGGACAACTCAGAGCTGCGAATTGTGCAGAAGAGGGATGGAGACCAAAATGTTCTTTCTGTCTTAGAAGACAGGGCTCCTGGGTGCAGGTCTGGTCTCTGCCCTCTGAGCAGGTGGCTGAGGTGGGGCATCTGGAAAGGCTTCCAGAAGGAGGGGCTCCGGGAGGATGGGCTGGCGCAGTGGAGGTCCTTCAATCCTGTTCCCCGTCCCCAGCCGCTCGGTATCCTGTCCATCCTGGAGGAGGAGTGCATGTTCCCCAAGGCCTCCGACGCCAGCTTCCGGGCCAAGCTCTACGATAACCACGCAGGGAAGTCGCCCAATTTCCAGCAGCCCAGGCCTGACAAAAAGCGCAAATACCAGGCCCACTTTGAGGTGGTCCACTATGCGGGTGTGGTAGGTGCCTCTGGGAACCCCAGCTCTTGACCACTCCTCCCTCTGGGTTTCTCCGCCTTGGCTCAGCGCCTGTCTGATCTCTGCCAGGTGCCTTACAGCATCGTGGGCTGGCTGGAGAAAAACAAGGATCCCCTGAATGAGACAGTGGTCCCCATCTTCCAAAAGTCGCAGAACAAGCTCTTGGCCACCCTCTACGAGAACTATGCAGGCTCCTGCTCCGGTGCGTGCCGTGCCGAGGGACTAGATTGCCATTCTGTGGGGACTCAGAGTGATGTCCCTGGAGTGACTGGTCCCCATGTCTCTCCTAGCTGAGCCCCCGAAGTCTGGTGTGAAAGAGAAGCGTAAAAAGGCAGCATCATTCCAGACGGTGTCCCAGCTTCACAAGGTGAGGCCCAGCCTGGGCCTATGCAGGCCTCACCCCTTGGCCTCCAGCCCGTTCTCGCTCCCTGATCTGTCCCCTGCACCCTGGGCGGGCGGCCGTTAAGACTTGCAGTGATGTTTAACTCCTCTCCACGTGAACATCACAGCAAGTCTGTGCTGCTTCCCGTCCCCGCGCGGCCTGGGCAGGGTTTGGGGTGGGGGAGGGGGGGGTGAAGTGGGGGCCTGAGGAGGACTTGGGTGGGGAGTGAAGACAGTGGTGATAGGGACCCAGTCAAGCAGAAGAGGGCAGAGGGTCACAGGAAAGGGTGACAGATGTGTGGAGGCATGTGGAGGGGCCTGCCCCCCAGCCCTTAGCGGGCTGATCCACTGCGGTTTCCAATTCTGCCTCCCTGCCCTGTGTGCCTTCTCCCCTCTCCCCACCTCCAGGAGAACCTCAACAAGCTGATGACTAACCTGCGGGCCACACAGCCTCATTTTGTCCGCTGCATTGTCCCCAATGAGAACAAGACCCCAGGTAGTCACCCTGGGGCCAGGTGGGTGGTAGTGGGGGAACATTGAAGGGAGGGGTCCGGGTGGATCTCTCCCTTCCGCAGAGCCCCCCATGTGGACTGTTGGTCTTTCTTCGAGGCACGAGACCTCTGACCTTTTCCTTTAACTCCCACCCGTCCAGGGGTCATGGATGCCTTCTTGGTGCTACACCAGCTGCGCTGTAATGGGGTCCTGGAGGGCATCCGGATTTGCCGCCAAGGATTCCCCAACAGGCTGCTCTACGCCGACTTCCGGCAACGGTGGGTGTCTTCCTGCCCCAGCCCTGGCTCCTCCCCAGCTCCCCCTACACAGCCACCTTCCCCCTTGTCCTCCACCCTGGTGGAGGCAACAGCCTGAGGGGATGAGAAGGGCACACATTTTAGAGTCAAACAGACAATTCCTGTCACTGGGCAGGAGTCCAGTGGGAGATGGTGGTGGCTGAGGCCTTGGATACAGAATAAGAAAGAAAAGACAAGGGTGGTGACTCCCAGATGTTTGGCCTGAGCAGCTGGGAAGCTGGTGGTAGGTTTACTGAGATACCAAACAGGGTTTTTATTTTGGGGAGTTGGGGAGACAGTGGATTGATCCCTCCTTTGAACACATAAATTTGAAATGTCTCCAGCAGATGTTCTAGAGGAGAAGTCCTGGGTGAGACTGGATTTTAGTCTGGAGATGGCAGCAGGCAGGGCTAGATGCAGATTTGGGAACTGAATGAGGGTTTGTGTGGACCAGACTTTGCATCATGCTGGCCCCGCAGGAGCACCCAGTCAGTAGCTCCTCCCCTCTCTTCCTCCGTTTGGTTTTGTCAGGCCACTAGCAGCCTAAGTTCCCTCCCTTTCCAGAAGTAACTGGCCATCCACGCTGACGTATGTATGTACAAATACTGTACGTGGGCACAGACGAGTCTGTGGGTTTGTTTTTTCATGTAACCATATGTCTTTTTAAAAAAATATATTTTTATTAATTTCAGAGAGGAAGGGATAGGGAGAGAGAAACATCAGTGATGAGAATCATTGATGGCTGCCTCCTGCACACCCCAATGGGGAGCGAGCCTGCAGCCCAGGCATGTGCCTGACCCTTGACCGGGAATTGAACCATGACCTCCTGCTTCATAGGTTGACGCTCAACTAACCATATGTCTTGGAGATTGTTCCTTATCAATAGGAATAAGTCTGTATCATCATCCTTTTTTTTTTTTTTTAAATTATGACTTTATTTTTTAGAGCAGTTTTAGGTTCACAGCAAAATTAAGAGGAAGGTACAGGAATCTCCCATGTTCTCCCTATCCCCGCACACGCACAGCCTCCCTCGTTTTAAACATCGCCTGCCGGGTAGGACAGTGTTACCACTGCTGAACCTGCACGGACTCATGACCACCTGAGGCCGCAGTTGGCACTCGGTGCCGTACGTGCTGTGGCTGAGGATGAATGTGTAGCGACGCAGCATCACGCTGGAAACATCCCATCGTCTGTGCCTGCTGTCCCGTCAGTCCCCTAGTGCAGGCTTTTGTGTTTCTCAGGTTTTGCCTTCACAGTGTGGCCACAGCCAACCTGACCTGCACTGCCCTGTGCACACATGCGAATGTGTCCACTTATTGGCTAGAATTCTCTCCCAAATGTTCCTTCAGGTTGAGATGTGCTACACCATATCGCCTTCTTAAACAATTATAGAAGTGCTGCATGCCTTTTGTAAGCACTGCAGCCCCTGAAAGAACTTCTCTACTGGATGCATTTAGACGGAACCGAGATTTTTCAGCAGAACACACCTACCTCCTAGTCTCGCACTGCACCCCCGCCCCCCCAGCTTGTTCAGTATGTGTCCCACCGGAACTCCGCTCCAGCCTGGAGAGGTCCAGGAATATTCCCTCCCTTCTCCCCACCAGCCTCCTCAGTCCTTGGCTCCCTGCCCAGCCTCTCCTCACTAGTTCTCCCTGCTGTCCCAGGTACCGCATCCTGAACCCCAGTGCCATCCCTGATGACACCTTCATGGACAGCAGGAAGGCCACAGAGAAGCTGCTGGGCTCCCTGGACATCGACCACACCCAGTACCAGTTTGGCCACACCAAGGTCAGGGCACAGAGGAGTTAGGGCTGACTCAGGTGTGGGTGGTCACACTGGACAGGAGACATGCTGGTGGGTGGAGGTTACACCTGTGGCCCCACCCCCCCAGGTGTTTTTCAAGGCTGGGCTTCTGGGCATCCTGGAGGAGCTGCGTGACCAGCGTCTGGCCAAGGTCTTGACGTTGCTGCAGGCACGGGGCCGGGGCCGCCTCATGCGCCTTGAGTACCAGCGCCTGCTTGGAGGCAGGTGGGTGTGGACGGAGATGGAGGACGGGGTTTTGGTGGGACGACTGTCCGCTCAGGGAACCACCAGGCTCTTTGGGACCTGAATGAGGGTTTGTGTGGACCAGACTTTGCATCATGCCTGGCCCCTCGTGAGCACCCAGTCATACTCTCTTGTGGGTCAGGTTACCCCTATGGGAGCAAGGGTGTCTCTGAGGGGTAAGGTTCTGTTTTGTGCCCCTCAACTCCCAGCTTCCATTTTGTCACCTCAAAAGTTGGGGTAAGAACACCTGTTTCTCCACTCCGGGCCATCCCAGAGCGTGGCCCAGAGTGGTTATGGCTGAAATGCCAGGCAGGAGAATTTATGTGCATTATCTTGTTTAAAGGATGGGATGGTCCTAAGACGTGCATGTTTGATGATCTCCATTCAGAGCCATCCTGTCACAGCTGGCCAGTGGGAGGGGGCGGAGGGGAAGGCAGGAGGTGGAGATGTGAGCCCAGGTGGTAGAGCCAGGTGGCTTTACCACTCCTGGTGTCTTTAGAACATTTGCAAGGGCCACCAGGACATTCAAGGCTTGTGAGCCCCCTCCCTGTAGCACCTGCATGCCCTTGGCCTCTCCTTCAATCTCACCTACAAAGCAGAGGCATTAGGATCTAATTGAGAGGCCATTTGGGAAGATTAAATGAGATCACACACTGAAGAGCCTGCCCCAGGGGAGGTGCTCAGGGAACATCAGGGCTGTCACTGTGAGCCTGCTGGTCATCTGTTACTGCCCCTCCCCAGGGATGCCCTGTTCACCATCCAGTGGAACATCCGTGCCTTCAATGCCGTCAAGAATTGGTCATGGATGAAGCTCTTTTTCAAGATGAAGCCGCTGCTGCGCTCGGCACAGGCTGAGGAGGAGCTGACGGCCCTGCGGGCAGAGCTACGGGGGCTGCGAGGGGCGCTGGCCACTGCAGAGGCCAAGCGACAGGAGCTGGAGGAGACGCACGTCAGCATCACCCAGGAAAAGAATGACCTGGCCCTGCAGCTGCAGGCAGTGAGTGGGGGCGGGGGCAGGGGAAGGGTTCCCCTCAGTGACCTGATGCCACAATGAACCCGACTGCTCCAAGGAAACACCCCAACCAGATCCCCGGCCAGGGCAGACCTGGTGTGGTCCGAGTGCCCCAGCTTACCTGGATCTACCTGCTACTCCAGACAGGCCACAAGATGAGGCTGTGGGCTCATGTCCCTGCTCACCTCCTACATTCCCAGCCTGCCCAGCCACGGGCTGTCTGTCCACGTGTCCTGTGCTCCCACCTCCGTGCCACCTTGGCTTCCCACTGCAGCTGAACCCATTTCCCAGCTCTTCCCTCCTTGCCATCCCTGAAACAGACAGACCCATGCTCCCTTCTCTGGTAAAGGGCCCACGGGAACCCAGGTCGCAGGTAACAGTAATAACCAGATGGCAGGGATCGAGGGTCCAGATCTCCCCAAGCCCACAGAGCCCTTCTGTCCTTCAAGTCCTTCGTGTCCCCTGCGTGCCAGGCTAGCGCTAGAGACACACAGGTGGGAAGACAGATGGGCCTGTGGTCACAAAACTCACCTGCAGGTGCAGGATAACGTTAGGCAGCCGGCACAGTGAGGAAGAGTGAGGTGGGAGAGAAGACCAGAGCCCCTCCAGTGTGCAGGGCTCGCAGGTCTGCTCCCACCCACCTCCACAGAAGCCTCGTTTGGGCCTCACTCTGGGTTGTCCCTGGCCTAACATCCCCCTCTTGCAGGTGTCACGTCTGCCCCTGCCCATCCCTCCACCTAAGCCCTCATCCCACTGAGCCCCTCAGGGCCAAGAGCAGGCCATAGGCATTCCGTGGCCCCCAGAACCCAGCTGAGTCAAACCTTTGCACAAATTAGCTTTCTTCTCTAGGACCCAGCCTGGTGCCCCTCTGCTTGTTTACCTGGCCCTGCCTCCACTCTGCCCCATTCCCGTTCCCTCTAGGAGCAGGACAACTTGGCGGATGCCGAGGAGCGCTGCCACTTGCTAATCAAGTCCAAGGTGCAGCTTGAGGGGAAGGTGAAGGAGCTGAGTGAGCGGCTAGAGGACGAGGAGGAGGTGAATGCCGACTTGGCCGCCCGCCGGCGCAAACTGGAGGATGAATGCACGGAGCTCAAGAAGGACATCGATGACTTGGAGCTGACTCTGGCCAAAGCCGAGAAGGAGAAGCAAGCCACTGAGAACAAGGTGGGGCCAGCAGCTGCAGGTCCCACTCCTGGCTCTGCCAGGCCCCTGCTATGGAGCCCTGGGCAGGTCACTTCTCTGTAGGCCTGAATTTCTTGCTGTCACATGGGGTTAATAGCAGCACTTGCCCCATTAGGGTGGGCAAGGATTCACTGTGTAACTAGTCTGCTGGCACTCACCACAGGGCCCAGCATGGGTAGGTGTTCAGCAAATGCCAGCAATTGTCACCCATCCTGGACTGCAAGCTCCCTGAGGGCAGGAACCCCAGCTCCCAGCTCTGCACCCCCAGGTGCCTTCGCATACCGCCGGTCATTGAACCTTTTCAACAGCTCCATGGCGCTCATTCAGGGAGGATGAGGCTCAGAGTGGAGTGATTTGCTCGCTCACTGGAAGGGGTGGCTACTCAAACCGGGGTGTGGGAGGGACATCCCCTTCGTGACCCTGGCCCTGGCACAGGTGAAGAACCTGACGGAGGAGATGGCGGCACTGGACGAGTCGGTGGCTCGGCTGACCAAGGACAAGAAGGCATTGCAGGAGGCCCACCAGCAGGTCCTGGGTGACCTGCAGGCTGAGGAGGACCGTGTGAGCGCACTGGCCAAGGCCAAGCTGCGGCTGGAGCAGCAGGTGGAAGACGTGAGTCGGGCACAGCCGAGGGCTGTGTGGTGGTACCGGGAGAGCTGGGAGGGTGCCTGGCTGGGCCTGGTGCTGAGCATGTCTGCGCCCCCCACCCCACAGCTGGAGTGCTCCCTGGAGCAGGAGAGGAAGCTGCGCATGGACACAGAGCGGGCCAAGCGCAAGCTCGAGGGTGACCTGAAGCTGACACAGGAGTCAGTGACAGATGCTGCCCAGGATAAGCAGCAGCTGGAGGAGAAGCTCAAAAAGTAGGCCTGGGGTGGGCAGCAGACCAGGCCCCGGCTGGCAGGGGCCTTTGAGCCTACACCCGCTTCTCACTGCTGGACTCTAGCCGGTTCCACATGACAGCAGAGGTTGAACATGGAGGGCTGAGATGGGGGTTACTAGGTGCTGGGGGCAGTGTCCTGTCCTCCCTGGACCAAGGGCGCTGACCAGGCTCTGTGGCCAGGGCTTGAGAGGGAAGGCAGGGTTGAGGTCACCTAGGGCTGCTCTGGGTGCAGGGTGTGTGCTGGGGGTGGTGGGCCCAGGCAGGTTGGTGGAAATTAGGACCAGGGCAGGCTCATGCTCTGCTGTGGCCTCCAGGAAGGACTCCGAGTTGAGTCAGCTGAACCTGAGGGTGGAGGACGAGCAGCTCCTTGGAGCGCAGCTGCAGAAGAAGATCAAGGAGCTGCAGGTGTGTGGGGGATGGGTGGATGGGGACCAGTGTGATAGGCTTACAGAGGCGACAGCTGCCTCCCGCTGTCCCCAGGCTCGGGCAGAGGAGCTGGAAGAGGAGCTGGAGGCAGAGCGGGCGGCCCGGGCCCGTGTGGAGAAGCAGCGGGCGGAGGCAGCCCGGGAGTTGGAGGAGCTGAGTGAGCGGCTGGAGGAGGCCGGTGG